TTTCTTCAGCTTCCAAATCGGCCCACATGTGTCCCTGTCTACATGTAAAGTTGATGCAGACTAGCAGGTTATAGAGCTCTTGGCCTAATGCAAATACCATGAGATGAATTTAAAACACGCTCTTCATTATTATTGAATTATTCTAAAAACCCATAATATTTTTGGCATTTCCAAACCAAAAACCCCCCCCAAAAAACTGAAAGGTTGATTGGAAACATCATATTCAAACATCAAGTCCTTCAGCAGAACTGAATTTCATCAGAGACTTTAACTTCCCACGACCAAAACCGAAGTCAAAGGGACAAGAAGTAATTAAAAGGCTACCCGATACGGAAAGCCTGAAAGTCCCACATTCGGTGGCTGCACCTGGACACGTGGACTTGACTGCAATGACCCGGTACCCACGGTGACCTTAAACACTGACAGGAACAAAGTCCACCTGCCAGGTCAAGCCTGAAATAAGTGAGATAAACTCTTCAAGACACAAAGCGTAAGCAAAGTTTGGGAATGTGGGGCTTCCTAATAAAAATTTGTATTAAACTATTGGAACATAAAAAACCTTTCTGAATCTGGATGTCTCTGTCCTGTCAGGCAGTACTGACTGACACACCCATGGACAGTAACTCTAAGTACAGTGCTTGGCAAATCACAGCAGCTCAATGTGCATAAATGATTCATGAATGACTGTTCATGCATGAATGACTGTTCATTCACAATGAGTGGGTGAACAATTCAGTGATATTATGCCCATTAGTGATACAGGTGGTCGGCACCCACCCTCCCTTAACATGGTGGTACTTCAGCCAGGAGAGACTAGAGAAGAAATCCTTAGAAGGAAACAGAAGATTGACAGGTGACCAAAGAAACATGCTTAAAGGCATCTCATTAATAAAAGTGACCACTACAGCATTCCATGCCTATGACGAAGAACACATCTCACAGAACACTCACCTGAGCTACCACTGGAGGAGGGGAGGGGGGCAGCAGGGTACAAACATCAACAAGGTGTTCTGGAAATTCTCACATCTCAATGTGCTGCCTCTACCCAGAAAACAGCCTCAATCACGACATCAGCATCTCCCTGGTTCCAGAAAAGCATGTGCCTGTGCAGGCTCCTGTTGTTCCCTATGGCAGTAGAACTTACTCTTTGTGCTGAATGAAGGAATGGTGTTTCCTGAAAGCTGCTTAATGCTACAGAGCATGGCCCCAGGGATGACCCCAGGAACTTGCCTTTTGAAATGACTGGAAATGGAAGTGCCATGTGGCAAGATACAGCAATCCGTGGCCCAGGGTCATTGCAGACACAAGGGCTCTGCTGTCCCTGTGTATTCTGCCACCTGTGCCTCCCTCCTGGTTAAAGAAACTCACCGCAGTGCTGAATGCCTTCCGGAGCGGGACACACTGTTGCCCACGGGGGAGGGCAGGTTGCTGCCTCTGTGCAGGTCCTCGATGGACCTGCTCCAGGGCTTTGATTTGTCCACCGAGCTCTCCACGGTGCTTTCCACGCTTTCAAAGTCAAACCTGAAACAAAAGAGAGATGCCAGGAGAGACTGAGAGATTCACATTTACACAAACAGCTGGATGTGCATAACTTGCTCCTTCCTTTTGTATGTCTGCACCTTAATTTGGGTAGTCTTTGCAAACAAACAAACAAAAACTAAAAGGGAAATACAAAAGAATGTCCATGAACTCCGTAGAAGCTTCAAAAATACAGAATGACAAATACTGGGCCAGGCAAAGTAGCTGAACAACAGTGAAACTTAAATAGTGACGTATCTGCATTTTACAATAAAGTTTGCTAGCTTACCAATTGCCAACATTGCTCAGATGGGAGATGGGGGAGGGTGGAATTGTACAGATGTCTTCATTTTGCTTTAACACGTCAATATGTTAGGCTTATACTAATTTATTCCTACCCATCAATTTTCACTGCGCATTTTCTCCTGGTGTGTTGGCAAGTGTGCTTTTCCAACCATATGTGATACATTACTCGCAAACGTATGAATTTGCTTTGATTTTGGAATAGCTTCCCAATGTGGTGCTCTTTAAAGGAGGACTGTTGTTTCTCTGACATTTTTGAGGTTATTACTCATGTTAACCATGTTAGAATAAATGGCAAGTTAAGGCACTCGGTCTTGTATAATTTCAGGGGCAGCATTTCTAAACAGACCGACCTTTGAGTTCTATGTATTTTCCCCTCCCAGAGTCAGAAGCTCTGCGTTCCCCCTAAAAGTATTTTATCAATTGTTTCTACCCATAGTTCTACCTGACCTAATAGAGAATAAACAGAAGGCAACTATAATTAATATCATCTGGAAGATCTTGAAGGCTATCACAGAATAGACAGCACCAATACATATTGGAAATAATGAGTATGACTGTTTATGAAAAAGTATGACTTTTATAAAAAGTATGATGGCCAAAATAAAATATTTGGTTAGAACAGTCATCTGTAAACCAGGTGATGTTCTCCATCTATTTAATATTAATCCAGATGTCACAGACTGGTGTATAATGGCATTGAATTCGTCTGACAATTCTGTCATGCCTTAGGATTCAGGAAACAGTGCTGAACAGAAAAGAGGTGGAAGCTGTGTAACGAATAGATCCTTGAGTACTAAAAACAGAAGTCTATAATTGAGATAGGAGAAGGTAAGCCAAGGGGGCATTCCAAGGTCACTCAAGTCTGCCCCATTCTCGCCATGTCTCTCTGCAGCCCCCATGCCATTCAGCTGTCCAGCTCTTATGTTTCTTTCGGCTGGTCCCCAACTCTCACACAGCAGAAAAAGGAACCACCGTGGTGAAAGCTTGTGCTTTAGGGATGGAGCCTGAGCCCGCTGTTTCTCATTCGTGGGCTAGGGAGTTATCACATGCCAAGGAATAGCAAGACATTTTCCAGCCCATTAGTTTCAAGAAAGAACATAAATTATGTGTCTCTATATAATTTGCCATCTAATTAATGCAAAAGAAAACCAAAACTAATAGCACAAATGTGAAGCCAATGCAAAAAAACCCAGAAGATTGGGAAGCAAAAGCTCTGAGTTCTGATCTTTTGTTGGGTTTGATCTTCTGCCACAGACGGGAAGAATTCCCTCATGGTGGCATAGTCTTTTCCCACGGTTTTTTGTAGGCATACGTTTGGAAAAGCTGGTCAAAGCTCTCCTGTGATTAGATAAAAGGTTAATTACAGAAAACATATAGCACAAAGCATACCATTCTTTTCATTACTCCTGATGTTTCTTACCCCTTCCTTAATTCCATAAATAATGTTCCAGATTATAAAATATGCAACAGAGTACTGTTATTGGTTTGCCATATGATATGAAGTGCAAAAGGAGATTAGCAGTTTTGATATAGTGGGAGATAAGAAACAACCTTTGGGAGAGCATTCTATAAAAACTAAGATTTTATTTCAGAGGACACTTTCTCAGGAAGATAAGCACCTGTGTTTTGGTTTTTTCTTACTCTATTCCATATATAAAAGTTATCAAAGCTGAAACTCAACAAGCCAGTTTCAGTTAATTCTTTAGTTTCTGCATCAATAAGGTAGGAATAATTATAGCTTTCTTGTCACAAATTCTCAAGGAAGTGATGAGGATAATAAGATAAAACAGCATCTGGTTAGGTCTTAAGATTTTATTGGAGTGAGGCAATATAAAAAAACAAGTGATTGCTTTTAAAAGAAGAATTGGGGGGGGGGCGGGGGAAATATCACCTGAGCCATAATATCCTCCAGTAAATTAAAAATACAATATGTGTGAGAGCATATCTGTGGATGCAGAAATATTTTTTGATTAAAGGAGGAAATGTAGAGACAGAGAAGCATCAATCAGATGCTCAAAACTCAGAGGGAAGGTAGGGGAGGAGGAGGGAGAGGGGGAGAGATCAACCAAAGGACTTGTATGCATGCATATAAGCATAAGCGATAGATGTGGACAACAGGGGGTGGGGGTGAGGGCAGGATTGGGGGGATGAAGGGACATTGGAGGGAGAAGGACACATTTGTAATATCTTAATCAATAAACGGGAAAAATGAATAAAGGAGGAAATGTGGAGAACAGAATATCTCATTGAAATGTACTTTTTATTCCTGTTGTAAATCTTTCCACAAGTGAAGCGAATAAGAAAAGTTTATGAATTAACAAAAACTAGGTTAAATAAGTTACTTTTTTTCTGCTTTGTTCCAACTTGGTCCCCTTCACCTTTATGAAAGATAAGTCAATACAAATACATAAAAATAAAAAGGGCAAGCCTCTTGTTCACCACTTCCAGTCTGCCATTTATTTCTGTATTTACGAGCACATGCAAATACACATATATGTAATTTTTTAAAATAGAAGGGAGTCACTCTTCTGTATCCTGCTTTACTCAACAATATATCATACACCTCTCTCAGTAAGTGCTGGAGTATTCTACCTTATGGATATACGTGACTTGAGCACTAAACAAAGTAGTTCTGTTTAAAATAAGGACTCTTCAAGGGTAATTTTTACTCCGCTGTTTTACTTCTGCCTTAAAAGCATTTCTAATAACAATTATGGGATTTGCTTTTAGCTGTTTGAGTAGAAACAAGCCTCCTTAGACCATAGCACATCTGCTTCTGGTTTCCTGGGCAGCGCAGGGTGTAACTGTACCACTGAGCTGCATCTTCTGCGACCACATAAAATGCAAAAGAAAGAAGCCAAGTTTTACTTACGTTACCGCATACTGTGCAAATGACAGATACTCCACCAGGACATCGAGGCCTTTGTTTTCTTCATTCAAAAACTCTCTGACCCATCTATTGGGGAAAAAAATTATGGGGGAGATTTGTCACATGCTCTGCCACAAAAGGCCCCGGTGAAAACCTTTGTTTTTCCACCACAAACACTTATTGCCTGAAAGGAAATCAGTACTAAGGAAGCCTGGACTCTATCACACCAGGTAGGAGCTTTCAGACAGACCAACTAAGAAAACCGCAACGGGGGTATGTGCAAGAATAGGGGGCCAAAGGCGTATGTGCGCCTTCTTTGAATTTTACTGCTTAAGAGACTTAAGATAACCCCTAAGAAACTTGCTAAAAAAAAGGCACTTGCTAAATGTACTTTTTCCACCATAACTGATCCTCAGCCTGCTTGCTACAGGAGCCAAGACTGCACGGGGAGGGAGGCAGACGGGGGACATGACGACATAACCACTGAAATCCAGGCGCGAGTCCAAATCCACATTCAACTCTTTTCTTGGCACACGAAGCTGCAGAAAACGCTCAACCAGCCAATGAGAGACCAGTGTTTATGGGCTTCTGGAAATTCGATAGGGATGATTTGCTTAACTTTTTCCACGAATGTTAAAACCTTTCAAGAAGTTGCAGACACCGCATACCATCATCAGAGTTGAGACGTGACAAATACCATGTTTTTCAAAAATTCTTTTGAAAATAGGACCACCTTGCATTTGAGTGGTGGGTTTGAAAGCAGTTCACTGGTTTTCTTTTACAAATTTCTATTCATTTGTCATAATCATTCCAAGAGATGAAGTAGGCTAGTCGAACAGAACTCTTAGGTACTGGAGATAAACAGTTGTTACCCCACCTTACAGGGTTCCCCAGGGCGTCCATCATCAGAAAACATGGGACACCCCATTAAGCCTTCACTAGATTGAAAAATCCAACAAATAATATCTGCTACTGTCTCACACGTGAAACAAGGTACATCTGCCAAGGACATTTCAAAATGGCTGACTCTTCCATGCACACCCGACCCACGAGGCCCAGCAGGCATGGGCACGAGAGCTACCACGGGAGCTGGTGAACATTGGTCAATCCTGCCTGTGTCCTTAAGGATGAGCAACCCCTTGAGGTCTCTGTCTTAAAGGAAGAAAAAAAAAGTCTGGAACTCAGGATGCCTGCTTTTTATTTTTGTTTTTTGGAGGGTATTTTCTTTGTTTTTGTTTTATCCTCACAGTTCATTCTTCCCTAAAAAAAAAGTTTTCTTTTTAATTGGTTTTAGAGGAAGGGAGAGGGACAGAGAGATAGAAACAGCAATGATGAGAGCGAATCATTGATCGGCTGCCTCCTGCATGCCCTTACTGGGGATTGAGCCCGCAACCTGGGCATGTGCCCTGACTGTGACTTCCTGGTTCATAGGTTGATGCTCAACCACTGAGCCATGCTGGCTGGGCCATTCTTCCTTTATGTCCCTCCATCTCCAGGATGTAAACTCATGTCTGTAGGTGGTTCCAGGAGACAGACAGAAAGGTGGGGAAAAAAGACACTGACCTCAGATTTCCCCCAACACCCTCGGGCAGACTATCACAAAATGTATGCATTTAACATAGCCCCACGCAAGCAAATAACATTTAATTTTCAAGAGACCTGGCGTGGCAACCCTGGCAAGGAAACACACCACCACTGGGCCCCACAAAGTGGCTCTGCTATGGGAGCTCACCCAAACTAACAGGGCCAGATGCTGGTCAGGACCGAAGTTTCATTCCAAAACCACTGCACACACAACCTCACGGCATCTGCTACTAGATACTTATTTTCATCTGATTTATTTTAATTGGTCCCTTCACAACTAGGCCTTAGGAGAGAGTGGGTTTTTTAAGCACCGATAATTAGAAGCTTGGAAATAGTACAGAATTTTTTTCTTTTTACAACTGGCAGGAGACTAAAGAAAGGCTAAAAGTCACTATGAGAACCGGATGACTAGCTACAAACCCCTCAGCTGCTCTCAGGCCTCTCGGATGGTCTGACCTACGGGCTCTGACTGCACCATCTGAACGGGCCCTCGGGGGTGGGTCACAGCAGGGAGCCCCAGAGCTGGGTACGGGGGTCATCTTCGTACAGGAAATGTCACCAACGGGCCCAGGTTTTCCAGGGCAGTCTCGGCTCTCCATATCCTCAGCGGCCACGGGCAATACTCAAATGTAGGAGCTGAGAAAAACAGCCACATACATAGGTCCTCTGGTTGATTTTCCAGACACAGCCTCTAAAAGAGTAGAGCTGGTCCAGGACGCTCTGAGGACCTATGATGGCCTCGATCACTGTCATAGCCATCTCACTTGAAACTTCAGCTGCACAGTTAGACAGACGTGAGCAGAGCAAGGGCGAGCGGGTAGGTACAGAAGGCCATGCAGGCAGAAAGCCTAGCGTCGGACAAAGCTAGGACAAAGCTGGGAAAACAAGGACCTTGTCCCCAGACCCCCTGATCTTCCATATTGCTGGTCATGCAGCTCGGACCCTCCAGGACGGTGAGGTTCTGACCCACATCACATACATCTAAGCCTCAGTTGTGCTTCAGCTCCAGGCCCAGAAAAGCAGCGAAACAGACAAGTGAGGCCAGGGCTGGCAACAGGACCATCTGCATTGATTAATGACCAACCAATCAGTGGAGACCATGACCCTGAAAGGGCACACCTGGAAAGTTGATGAATATTCTATTGGGATCCTCCCCTGCACCCTCCAGATAAATACCCTCAAGACAAGAACCCAGTGCCTCTCTCTAAAAGGAGCAGTCCCCCCCCTCCCCCAATTTCCCTTCCCCATCCCCCAGCAGTGGTTTCCTTGCCTCCCTCTTTCCCCTAACCTCCAAGGGCCCTTCTTTCGCCAGTGTAGCATGTCTCCTGAGCCCATTTCTTTGATGGCTCACTTCTTCTAACTCTGTGACTTTAAATAAACTTTCCCTTATAGTTTGAAGAAAAAAAAAAAATGGAAAAAACGTTCAGCCACAAACTGGATAGGAGGCAAATGACTCAGAGATAATGAATTTTTAAAAAAAGGAAGGGAGAGAGAGGAAGAAAGGAAAGAAGGTAGGAAATAGCCAAGCACAGCCAGAGCTTCAATTCTCTTGACTCAAAATACTAATATGCATATAGTCTGATGTAAGGACAGACTATTAATTAGCTTCCCTTACTTCAATCCAATGTTCTTATCAATACCTCCACTCCCACTTGATGACTTTGAGCAAAAGTGCTTTAAAAACAACTTTCAAGTTGAAAGGTAGGAGCCAGCTGCTCAGTTCCTGCTCATGTCCCGCCTCAGAGATTTCATTTCATGTGGACAACCTCTTTCTAAGCTGCAAGATCTTCCCTGGGCCTTTGATCTGGCCCAGGCACCCCGAGGTGATTTAGGAAATAAAATAAATGTATATCATGGTTGATTATCTTATCCCATTAGTCAAATGATATCAGGTCAGTAAACTCAGTTCAGCAACAAAAGGCTATAAACAGCCTTCACTTTTCCCCTCTCAATCCCTGTCCCTTCCACACTGGGGATATTCTGAACAGAAGAAAACACAGGTGAGAGTGAACTTCTGTGGAAGTGAAAGAAGATGGAAAGAAAAAAGGCAAACATGAAAAAAGGGCAACTTTCAAGCAGTATCTTGAAGCTAAAGACATAAAAAAAGGATGCCCCATTTTGCAGATTTATGTATATAATCATGCAATGAAATAGCATAAATGTTGAGTTCCTGTAGTCAATTTCCATTTTCACCTCTGTGCATGCTATACACATTTTGTTTTATATATTACCAATAGGCAAACAGTTTCAAATTGGGTAATGATAGGTTTTGGAAAGCGGAATTATTTTTGACTCTGATAACATGCATCATGTACTAAACACCTCACAGATTCACTGTAATTACATGCTGTAAAAGTGAATTAGGCAAATTTCCAATCAGCTGCTCAGGAGCCAGAAGAGACGTGGACAAGAAAAATAGCTCCAGAAAAAACCTTCTTCAAGGACAAGATCTAAGTGGGGATGCTAGTAGCTACTGTTTTATTGTCGACAGGTCAAAGCTTCATTTCCGAATTGCTGTTTTCTCTCTACCCCGCCAAATCTTAAACCTCATTATTCTCAGCTAGAGACACAAGATAAAGGGACAAAGCATGAATTCCCTTTGTTAGTCTCCAGCCTGTGGGCCACATAAGGCCTGTGAAATCATTAGATCTGGCCCTGCCAAGGCATTAGGGGTGAGTTAATTAAACGTTTGACCAAATATAGCACGCTAATTTTTAAGTTGATAACTTTGTATAGCTTGCAAATGATGCCATAAATATCCAAATGGCCCTTGGCAGGAAAAGGTTCCCCACAGGCATGGTGAACTGCAGTGGCTGAAAAAATCATGAGAGAGAGAGAGAGAGAGAGAGAGAGAGAGGGAGAGAGAGAGAGAGAGAGAGAGATTGAGTAGCATCACCCAGATTCATCATTATCTACCAAATCTAGGAGACAGTGTCACAAATTGGTTCTCAAAGTATAGCCCACACACCACTAGGGGTCCCTGAGACCCTCCCAGGGGTTTGTGGAGTTACAAGTGTTTTCATACAAATATTAAGAAAGTAGTTATTTTTGTCACCGTGCTGACATTTGTACTGATGGTACAAAAGAAATGTGGGTGGCCCGGCTGACGTGGGTCACTGGTTGAGCATCAAACTATGAACCTGGAGGTCACAATTCAATTCCCAGTCAGGGCACATGCCCGGGTTGCAGGCTCGATCCCCAGTGTGGGGCATGTAGGAGACAGCCAATCAATTATTCTCTCCCATTACTGATGTTTCTATCTCTCCTCCCTCTCTCTTCCTCTCTGAAATCAATAAAAAATATATTTTTAAAAAGAAAGAAGTGTGGCTAAAACTGCTGCCACTAAAGAATACATCTATTTATTTTATTCTTCATCCCATGCCCTTGGGAGGATAAAAGTTAGCTTCACTTAAAGCTGCCAATAGGGAGGCAATAACAATTCTTGATCACATTAAAGCTGCCCTCTTCTATATACATCTTGAGTTTTCTGTGTGGCAAAATGG